CGTGCGCCAAAAGATGAACTGTGATCCAGGATGGTAAAGTCTCTTTATTCAAGAAAACACCAGGGCAAAACGCAGGTCAGAGCGAGGTTACAGGAAACCAGCAAGCGCGGCCAGAAAAAGGGCTAGGGTCTTCTGGTGCAGCCCTTAAGAAGCTCCCTTACGTCACACCGGCTTTCCTTCACCACTCCCTTATGGGCGAGTCCGGGGTCCACCTGGCACCTGTCCCATGACTATTGGGCGGGGCTAGGGTGTCTCCCTATAGTCACATTTAGTGGCCTGACCTCCATGGAGCTCTAGGACTGCCACTGCAGGCCCTCACAAGGTCTCGAGTCCCCTGTGGCACCACCTGTCAGCTCCAGGAAGCCAGTCTGTCAGGGTCATTCTGGGAGCCAGGGCCCAGCCTGTGTTTCCATGTGAACGAGTGCAGAGCCAAACATGGGCTCTGCCTCCCTTGCAACATGGACATGGTGAGCATCCAATCACAGACACACCTCCATGTGGGTCATTTCAGGAAACCCACCTTCAGTGTGACTGTGGCAGGCCTGAGAAGGAAACTGGTCTGGAGGCAGCCCTTCAAGATGATAAGAGCCTGCTGCCCTGAACCCAGGAGAGTCCTGCCACCATTCACTACCACCCCCCTACCCCCCCCCATAACCCTCAGCACTTCAACCCACCTTCAACCATACCAAGCGGCCAACACCAAGTCACCATTGTTGATACACAAAACTCGGGTCTCATCTAGCCATCCACATGGGTGTCTGCCCTCGCCCCGACAGGGTCCCACTGTCACCCCCACCCAGCCTGCTCTGTCTGATATGCCCTCACAGATTGCTGCACAGTTGGCCCTAGACGAAAGCTTCACAGTGTGAACCAACAAAGCAAGAAAAGAGTTACACTCAGCCTATTGCTGCACAGTTGGCCCTAGACGAAAGCTTCACAGTGTGAACCAACAAGAGTGGAAAGAGTTACACTCAGCCCGCTGTCTCCAGCACGTTCCAAGCAGCGGCTGAGCAACAATTTATCACCACTGAAGTCCGGTAAGGCGCCTAATTGGCCCATAAATGTGGTCCAGTAACTGCACCTGACACCCAAAGACACTGCCGGCAATTAGCATTTATTTATTTGCATATGGTATTGACCGATCTTGGCAACTAGCTCACAAGATCTGTTTATTTTAAACCCTGGAGGAGGAAGGAAAACCCTCACTAGAAAGGGACTGCCATCACACATACACAAGTGTACATACTAGCAGGCACAATGGGGCTGCCCAAGGAAGCCAGTGACTTGATTTGTGAACAGGGCCCTCCCGTATCTTGCCTTTCAACCTCAAGTCTGCACAGGCCCCTGCAATGTCCAGTCTGTTCTCAGGATGCAGAAGTAGCTGGGAAGACAGTGTTGCCCAGATTGCTGCCCATGTGTGATGTGGGCTGGAAAATATAACACCTTAGCCTTGACAAGCTGCCTCTCAAACCATAACTCCTTGTCCCATCTGCAGAACATTCCAGAAAGCCAGGCCATCAACTTCTCTCACCTGAGAGACTGACTTGGAGAGTTTCCTCCTCCAGTGCTTGAGATGAAGCTGAGCCTCAAGCATGCTAGGCCAAGTGCTCTCTACCTCCTGTCTTTGGGAGAGTTAATGCAAGAGATACCGTGATAGAGGCCATTATGGGTTAGGGAGAAACCTGGTACCAGGGAAACTCCAGGAACCCACAAGGATGACCCCAGCTAAGACTCCTAACAATATCTGAGAGGGTACCTGAACTGGCCTTCCCCTGTAATCAGATGCCCCAGTTGTCAACATAGAGCCTTTATCCAGTAACGATTGGAAATAGATGCAGAGATTCACAGCCAAGCACTGGGCTGAGCTCTTAAGAGTCCAGGGGAAGAGAGGGAGAAGGGATTATATGAGCGGGGGAAAGAGGAGTCAGGGTCATGATGGGGAAACTCACAGAGACAGGTGACCTGAGATTGTGGGAGCTCATGGACTCTGGATGGATAGCTAGGGAGCTGGCTTGGGATCTACCTAGGCCTTCTGTATCTGGGTGACAGTTGTGTGTAGCTTGGTCTTTTGTGGGGTCCCTAGCAGTGGGACCAGGACCTGTGCCTGATGCCTGAGCTGGCTCTTTGGAACCTATTCCCTATGCTGGGATGCTTTGCCCAGCCTTGATGCAAGGGTGGGGAGCTTGGCCCTGCCTCAACTTGATATGCCATGCTTTGTTGACTCCCATGGAAGTCAACATCCCTTCCGAATGGAGACAGAGGAGGAGTGGATGAGGAGGGAGCTAGAAGGGAGGTTTGGGGAGGGGACAGGAGGCAGGGAGAGTAGGGAAACTGTTGATATGTAAAATTAAAAAATGATGAATAAAAAAGAAAATGTCAATATTACCTTTGACCGACAAAATGTTGTGTTTATTAGCAAATGCAAGCTTCCCTTCAAATTTCTATTTTGAGAATGTTTTAACTTTTATTTACATTCTATTTATGCATTTTCTGTGTAAGAATGGGTATGGGGGTACATCCCACCATGTGGGTACCAGAGTTCAAACTTGGTTTGTTGGTTTTGGAGACAAGAACGCTTAACCTTCCTTGCTGCTCCAGGGGGCCCTTGACAATTGTTTAAGCCTACAGGGGAGCTGGATGATAGAATATCTATCCAAGAAACACCCAAAGGTGCCCGGGTTGTTTACATGTAACTGGGCCACATAAGCTCACAGGGCACTATTAGGAGGTGTGACTTTGTGGATGTGGCCTTGTTGGAGGAAGTGTGTCACTGTGGAGGCAGGCTTTGAGGTCTCTCATACTCAAGCTACTCCCAGTGTCACAGTCCACTTCCTGTTGCCTTCTGATCAAGATGTAACCAGCACCATGTCTGCCTGCACGCTGCCATGATAATAATGGACTGGACCTCTGAAACTGTAAGCAAGTCACCCTCAATTAAATGTTTTCCTTATAAGAGTTGCTGTGGTCATGGTGCCTCTTCACAACAATAGAAACCCTAACTGAGACAGTGCCACATCCGAACATCCGAATTACCATTGTTTTAACACACTAGAAAGCTCTGTCTCTCAGCTCCCCTTTTCATTCTCTCTCTCTCTCTCTCTCTCTCTCTCTCTCTCTCTCTTTCTCTCATGATGATGAGCAACAGAGAAAAGGGGGCCTGGAGAGATGGCTCAACTGTTAAGAGCACTGGCTGCTATTTCAGAGGACCTCAATCCAGTTCTCAGCACCCACATAGCAGCTCACAACCATCTGTAACTCTAGTTCAAGGGGGATCTGATGCCCTCTTCTGGCCTCCATGGGTACTGCATGCATGTACACAGAAAAGCAGGCAAACACTCATATACATAAAAATTTAATCTTTTAACAAAGAAAAGCCCATTCTGCAACATTGCAATGCAAATGACCAATTTTTTGCCCTCAATAAATAACTAAACCTTAGGAGTTTCTCCCTAGCGATGCCCAGAGTTTCCACCCCTGTGACCCAATCTATGGTCAATGTACAAGCTGCCTTGGTTGTCAGAATAATGCCCTTTCTTTCACAGCTGGTTTCCCTTATTCAGGAGCTAATCAATGACCACACTGAGCCCTAAACTGCCATCATTACCTAATCTTTAAAATTCACACAAGCAACTCTAAAACATTTGATTATGTGTACATGCATGTTTCTTAAGAATATACACACCAAGGCCAGAAGAGGGCGTCAGTTCCCCTGGGACTGGAGTAAGGGATGGCTGCAAGCCATCTGATGGGGCTGGGATCTAAACTCAGATCTTCAAGAGCAGCAAGTGCTCTTACCCACGGAGCCATCTCTCTGGCCCCCACAAACGTGGCAAATGACAACAAAGCTAACTGAACACTCATCCGCCGAGAGCAGGTTCTGATTTTTGCAGTGGTTCTGTCAAAGGAAGCCTGGAGTATATTGACTCCTCACTCACTGTTACTCGGGCTTTCTTCCTTGTTCTTATCGGTGTGTAACTCAGATGGCAGTCACCCTTTCTGAGTTGTGATGGGCAGCTTTGTCCCATGCTCCCCTTTCCTCTGAACCTGATGATGTTTCTTTTTTAAGATCTACTCTTTTGTTCTTCTTGGTTTTTCGAGACAGAGTTTCTCTGTGTAGCTTTGGAGCCTGTCCTGGCACTCGCTCTGTAGACCAGGCTGGCCTC